CTGCTGTCCCCTGCACTGAGCTAGGTGCTGGGGCACAGGCTTCAGGGACCCTTAAGTCCCTGGACCACTTCAGACCTAGAGCAGAGCGTGTTGCCCATTACAGGCTGTGCCTGAGGCTAGGCACAGCTTCTGTCTCCCTGCTGGGGCTAGACAAGGTGGGGGACTGTGCCCTGAGTGGGTGCAATGGGAAGCCATCCTGGAGGAACCTGCTATCAACTGCCTGAGGAGCCTTGGCTCCTGGCTGGTGAGTTCAGAGGGATCCCTGCACACAGGTGAGCCTATGCCTCCCTACCACCCAACTGGGCTGTGGAGGCTGAAGTCAGGGTCCTGAACATCCAGTAACTGGCATGTATAGGGCAGTTATGCAGGAGATGCATTCTGTTCCCACTGCCCATGAACACACACTGAACTCATGGCAGTCACTGCTGGACACCTGATGTGCCCACTGGTTGGCCCTAACAACCAGAGAACCCACCAGCTCTTGAGCAGAAGAGGGGTGCTTAATGGCAGAAGGCTGAGCTGGGCACTAATTTTTTCCAGGGTGGCGCAGGTTGGAAAGTCCCTTAAACCCATGAACTCTGTGAACACAATAAAAACTTAAATATCACTTTTAATTTATTATAAGTATTATATTTCTTGTTTAAGTTTTTATAGATGTCCCACCTCTGGGATGATGGGTCAAAGGGGATCTTGAGGCCTGGTACTTGGGTGAGGTTGTGATACCAGGGCTGCTGAGGAGGTTGGTGACACCAGTCTTCTCAGGCTGTGTCCCCTTGATGGCTAGAATGAGGGGCCCGATTGCAGAAGAGTCCCAACTTTGTTAGGAAGGAGGTCCTGGTAAGTGTTTAGGGTCAGAGGAGACCCCAGCCTTGCCCGAGGGTTGTAGCAAGTGAGGAGCCTGTGCACCTTCCCTCCCCAAGAGGAGAAAGAAGTGAGGTAGGTGGTGAGGAGAGTCAGGTGAGAAGCCAGGGACCTCAGGGCAGGCTGGTGGGCTCTCCACAATTCCCTTCCATAGCCTGCTCTGCTGGCCAGTGCCTGTCGAGGCCCCACTGGGAAGAGCAGGGCAGGTGCTGTCTGAGCTTTCAGGTCTCTGAGGAAAGAACCTGCTGTATGTTCTTTTTGGAGGTAGTCACTCTTGAATAAAAAATGTATGATTCCTGAGGGTTGACCAGCTGACCCAGGTATCATCCAAGCTGTAGGCAGAGAGGGGAGGTGGCCTCAGGCTTGGCTCTGAAGTAGCTTCACAGCTGGGTGAGGCCTGGCCCTTGCTCTTCTTATCCCTGTGCTCTTGGATCCAGCATGCACAGGTGTTCTCGCAGCTGAGATTCTGATGTGGGTGGGCAGGCCCAGCCCTAGACAGAAGGTGACGCCGGGGGCTGCATGCGCTATCTGTGCTGTCCCTGCTGCCACCAACACCACCCCATGTGATGCTCAGGGGTGCCTCTGTCCCCACATGGCCAATTGCCCCTGCCCCAGCCAGTGGAAGGCTTGGCATTTCTCCATGGTCCCTGGCCTGCGTCACAGCAGCAAGCTTGAGTGCTGGCAATGTAGCACTAGTGTCCGCCAAGGATCCTTCTCACTTGAGGTGGTGGCACAGAGCCCAGGTTCTCTGAGGTTGCTAGGAGTTTGAGCCCTGAAACACCAGGAAAGGAACAACGGCTTGGACTTCCAGAGGCTCCTGCTTCAGCCTGGCTTAACCAAGACCATGCAACCGCATGGCCCCTGGAGGCTGGGAGATGGCCAGCTCTCAGGCTGGTGATCAGAATGCAGCAACCTGGACAGCAGAAATGACCTTGAGTGGTGTGTCTAGTGTCCTTTAAAGGCCACTTATGTGTTCATTCTCTCCTGGAGTCCTTCTGGTTGGAAGTGCGGAAGTGCCACACCAAGGCCAAAAAGCATGTCAGCCACCAATGGAACCTGGCTCCAGACTCCTAGTCCTGTACTCTTGGGCGTGCCTTGGACTGAGCTCCACCATTACCTGATGAGGTAGGCACCCAAGACACTCAGGGCCAGCAACCCCCAGCTGGCACTGGGGTTCACGGTGCTGTTGCAGAGGTCTGTGTTGCAACAGGAAGCTCTGGAGTAACTCAGGCTCTCTTGGAAGCCAGGGCAGGTGTAAGCACATGACTTTATAACAAGTGTTTTCTGTCCTGGGGGACCTGGAAGAGGCAAGATAGAGAGTTGTTTATTGAGACCTGTGGAATCCGCTCCTGCCCCTCTCAAAACACTCAGGCCTCCTGACAGCCTGCCTGATGCTTCCTCCTTGCTCTCCCACCCCACAGGGAAGCATGGCAGGAGGTGACCAGGGTCAGGGCCCAGCATGTGACCACCACTAGGGCTTCTACCTGCTACTCTACTTCCCCACTCTTCCTTTCTGAGTAGCTGGTACCCTTGGGAACAATCTGAATTGTTGTGTTTCCCGTGCAGCATGTGGAGTGGACAGAATATCCTGTCTGCTCTTCCACTTGGAAGAAAGCAGCAGCGTTGTGCCCATTTTGCAGGGTAGAGACAATCACAGTGTTTACCTGAACAATTGCCGGCCAATCTCAGTGCCTAGATTAGAAATGGGGGACTTCCCAGGCTTGCCTTTTTGCTGGAGGCTCCAGGTGCCAGATCCACATCTCACCCCACACCACCCTGACCCCCACCTGCCCGGAAGGCAGATACTCACTGTTCCAGGTCGTCAGGCAGTATCGGGCGTCAGCCCTGCAAGACGTGGGCTGGAAGCAATTTCCTGATGCCAAGCACTCGTGACACTTCAGGCCCTGGACTGGAGGAGAGATGCCTCAGTTCAGGGACCCAGGCCTCCCACCCCACAGCCATCGACCCCACAGGTCTGGACCCTGCTTTTTGGAAAGCACCCACCTCCCAAACCCTCCACCTCATTCTGGCTCCCCCATCTGCCTGCCCACCCTGGCAGTCAGCCCACTGCTGGTTCTGGGAGCCCACCAGAAGTCACAGCACCATGCATTCTCTAGGGCAGGAAACCGAGGCTCTGAGCAAGTCCTGCCCTGTGCCCTGGCTCCTTCTCTGGGCAGCAGAGGGGCACATCATTCTGGGGGCATGTCCACGTACATCAGACTCTCAGAATGGCAGCCAGGGTCCTCAGAGCCCTGGGGACACAGGGCAGGGCACCCACAAGCTTACCTGGCCATGCCAACAGGAACAGAGGCAGCAACCAGAGCAGGTGTCGCATCCCTAGTCCAAGCAGGTAGGCAGGCAAGTGTACAGAGCAAATGTCTGGCCTGCATGAGGCCAGCTGACTTTTATTAGCACCCCCAGATGTGGTGGGTGGAGTGTCAGTCCTACGTCACTCCTAGCTAATGACATGTGTTGTCACGGGGGTGTGGTTAGGTGATGAACACTTCTGGAATTCACCTGACTGGCCCAGGCCTCCGCCAGCCACTGGACCTTACTTCCCCACTTCCCTCTGTGGGCCAGGACAACCATGCTGCTCTGCCTCTTGCTGAGGCCCCTCCCTGGCAGCATAATCTGCTCCACCATAACAAACACTGCAGACAGGGTCAGAACCGCAGAGAAGCATCTTCCCCATTCTGGATGCTGAAGACTGAGGGTGAGGTGCCTGCAGGGCTGGCTCCTCTGAGGCCTCACCTTGCCATCTTCTCTCTGTGTCCTCCCATGGCTGTCCTCTATGTATCTATGTCCTGACGTCCTTTTCTCACAAGTGCACCAGGAGGATTGGATCAGGGCCACCTTAGTGACTTCACAGCCTGTGTCACCAATTTAAAGACCTCATCTCCAAACAGTCACACTCTGAGGGACTGGGCAGTCAGGGCCTCAACATATGAATTTGGGGGACACAGTTCAGCCCATGACACAGGGGCTGGTCTTTTTTCATGCGGGAGTGTAGATGTGATGCACAGTCACTGGGTGCTCTGTGGGACCCGTTAGCCACAGCCTCCCCAGAGGGTACATGGTAGGAGCCCAGTGTGACTGACACTGGCCAAGGAGGGGTGAGAGGTGTCACATGGAGATAACATCTACTTCTTTGCCTCATCAAACCATGGGCTGTAGGGGGACTTATTTTGTGTCCCATCAAGAATGAAGAGGATACAGTATGTACATTCTGTCTGAATTTCAAAGGTGCAGAAACACCAGAGGGAAGGATGTGACTGGGTAGGAGTGTCCCTTAGAAATCAAGGGAGTCAAGTGCTAAGACAGAGCCCTCCTGATGGCGGGGGCATGACAGCATACCCAGGGGGTCTCAGCTGGACACCCACCCCCTGTCCACCACCAGCAGAGACTGGATTCTACAGGCTGTTAGGGGCCCTGAGCCAAGGACTCAGGCCCAAGAGCCTTTGACCTTGGGAGATTCCACACTGTTTACCACTACTGGCCAGATCCCTTCCACCCCAGAAGCCCAGATGGCCAGAGGCTGTTTGCTTGCTGCTAATCGCAGAGGCAGTCAGTTGAGCCCAACCAGCCTCTCCAGAGCCCCCTGAACCCAGGTGTGGGGGTTCTGGGAATGAATTGCACAGCATGGCTATTTCTCTGCATGAGCTTGAGAAGCTCTATACACCTGGGTCCAGACCCACACTTTCAAGCCTGGACTGGGGCCCAAGTTGCATTTTGCCTAGTGCCACACAGACTAGGAGGAAGTGCTCCTCTGGATTGCTACAGGTTCTCTCCTCCCTGCCTTCAGGTCCCCTTCTATTGTTACCATGCCTAGCCAGGACTCCTTGGCCCTGGGCACTGTCACCTCACCAAGTGCCCCATGGATCCAGAAGCCAAGGTGCCCTGTGGGTCAGACCCTGCCCTAGGCCATGCAGCAGGTAAGAGATGGAACCCAGGTCCTTGGCTCCTCCAACATCGCCGGCAGGGCTATTTCCCCTTGCAAGTGAGAAATAGAAGATGAGTCCAGGAACACATCACCTCCATGACCAGAAGGGAAAATGGGGGTGAGGGACAGGTACCTGATGGGGATGCTGGGGGTGGGGAAAGGGTCTCTGGAAGGGTTTTAGTTTCCACCAGCCCTGTGTGGCCTGACAGGGTTCTGGTTCTGTCAAAAAATAAAAAAATAAATAAATACTCAGTGTGCAAAGTGTGGGAATTTGGTCTTTCTTTTAAACTACCAGGATTCCTGATGTGAGTAATGAACCCAATACATGGAAAAGGAAACTGAGGCCCTGAGGGGGGATATGACCAGCCAGGTCACACCTGGGTGTGAGGATTGCCCTTCACATAGGGGACTGCATCTTCCAATCTGTGAGGAAACAGATATCCCTGGTGTTGTGGGCTCATATCTGCTCTCTGTATGGGGATAGTCATCACCCTCCTGGGAACCCAGAAGCAATAGGAACATAAGCAATAGGTACCTAAGAGACGCGCCCCCCCCCCCAGCCTGATGGACTGGTCAAGATTTCTGGGAGCAGTCTGGGAACACCCTACATGATTTAGCCTAGACTTGGCTAGCAGCCAGGCTCAGCGGTGACAGGAGGGGGCAGACCTGCTTCCAGCACCACCTAATCTCTGAGTCCTCCCAGTATCCTAGGAGACAGCTGACCTCACTGCACTTCCCAGGCAGGGAGTTCCAGCCACCTGTCTGCATCATGTTATGGGCTAGCGGGAAAGGCCAGGGGTCAGCCAAGAGGAACGGTACATTCCGAGTAGGGAGTCAAGACAATACCGGGACTAGTCACAGGTGACCAGCCCAGAAGTTCTGCTTATCATGTCTGTGTTGTAACTAAGCTTCATCCCCTAGGTAACCTGAACAGTATAGCAGGCAGCTGATAGTTCTGTAAAAAGAAAAATGCCCTAGAGAGAGACATCCTAGTTCTAACCCTGTGGACCTGTGGCGACATTCCTTCACATGGCAAGGGGATATTGCAGATGGGATGAAGCTAAGGATCTGGATGTGGGGAGGTGATTCTGGATTGCCCAGGGGCCCTGATGTCATCACAGGGTCTTTGCAGAGGGAAGCAAGAGGCCAGAGGTCAGAGACAGGGAGGCGAGGACAGAAGCAGAGAAGGGACACTCCAGAACAGCCCCTGAAAGCTGCAAGGAGCAAGCGCAGGCAGAGCTGTCCCTCAGCCTGTGGGAGGAACGCGATCAGCCACACCTTGCTTTCAGCCAGGAAGACCCATTGCAAGCTTCTGACCCCCTGAAGTAACAGACCATAATCATTACTTTTCTTGTTGTTTGTTACACTGGCCACAGGAGACCAGGTTGTTAGGGTCCTGCCTCTAAAGTGGACCCAGAGAAAGATAACCAGCCTAGAAGTTCTGCAGGGGAGGTTGCTCATGACCCCAATGACAGGAGCAGGGTCAGATCATGGAGGAAGGGGACTCCTCAAAAGGATCTGACCTCTGTCAATGGAGAGGCCACTGCTCCCAGAGAGCCCTTCCTATTTCCTGCCCTGGGTGCTCCCCAGCCATCTCTTTCTGACAGGACTGCAGTCCTGACAGTCACCCTTTGAGTCACATCTCTCCCATGCAGCCAGTCCCTGGCACTTCCCCCACATAAGAAGTGAGAGCTGCCTATCCCACCTGGCCCCTTGTTCTCTGGGATCTAGGTCACTGTGACGGGGAGCACCCCAGGCAGGCTTTAGCCAGAAGCGGCACTGAGACAAGGTGTGTTGGTTTATTTTTGACAGAACTTTGTTTCTATGGTAAAATGCATGTCCCATTTAATTGACCAATGGCCACTCTTAAGTGTACAGTTAGTGGCATAAGCAGCCCATCCTCAGGACCTCCTTATCTTCCCAGACTGAAGCTCCATCCTATTAACACTAATCCCTCCCTGACCCCCGCCCTAGCACTCATCACCCACTGCCTGTCCCCATGGCTCCTAGGGACCTCAGAGGAGTGGAATTCCTGGCTGGTCTCACTTGATGTAGTTTCTTCATGGTTCTTCCATGTTGTGTTGTGTGTCTGCATTTCCTCCCTTTTCACATGGTTTCACATATAGAAATGTTTGTAACTGATCTTCTTGCTGACTGAAGCTTTACTGGTAAACACTGTTCTTCTTTGTCCCAAGTAACCTTTTTTGATCTGGTCCATTGTGTCTCCTATTAGAATAGCCACCCCTGTTCTCTGTGGGTCACAACTTACTGGATGTTTTTTCTATCTCTTTGCTTTCAACCTGTTTGTGTCTCTGGATCTAAAGTGAGTCTCAGGTGGTAGATGTGGTTCAGTGGTAGATCACTTGCCTGGCAGGCACAAGGCCCTGGGTTTGAGCCCCAGCACAGCAAATAAATAAAAATAAATACATAATAAAAATAAAGTGAGTCTCTTGCAGAGAGTATATAATTGGATCAAGGGGGATATATTTTTTCCATTCTGGCAATCTCCATGTTTGGATTGGAGAGTTTAATTCACTTACATTTAAAGTAATTACTGATAAAAAAAGATTTGTTTATGTTAATAGTAGCAGTGATTCTTTTATGGTGGTGGTGATAGTGTTAATGGTGGTGATGATGGTGATGGTTGTGGTGATAATGATAGTGATGACAGTAGTGGTGATGGTTCTAAGGGTGTGATGGTATTAAGGAAGGAGATGATAGTAGGGATGATGATGATGATGATGATAATAATGATGGTGATGATAGTGAAGGTTGGTGGTGGTGGTGATGGAGGTGATGATGGTGGTATGTTTGTGGTGCTGGTAATGGTGATGGTGATAGTGATGATAGTAAAGGTGGTATTGGTGATGGAGGTGGTGATGGTGTTGGTGATGGAGGTGGTGATGGTGGTGGTGATGGTAGTGGTAGGGATGGTGGTGGTGGTTATAGTGGTGTTGCTGGTGCTGGTGCTGGTAATGGTAATGGTAATGGTGGTGGTGATGGAGATGGTGATGGAGGTGGTGGAGGTGGTGATGGAGGTGGTGGATGTGGTGGTGGAGGTGGTAAAGGGGGTGGTGGAGGTGGTGATGATGGTGGTGATGGTTGCTGGTGGTGATGGTGATGGTAATGGTAGTGAAGGYAGTGGTGCCTGTGTTATTAATGAAGGTGATGGGGGCAGTAATGATGGTGTGATATTAATGGTGGTGGTGATAGTGGAGATGATGGGGATGGTGGAGAGAGAGCAATAGTGGTGATTTTGCTAACAGCAGTGGTGGTAAAGGTGGTGAAGGAGTATATCATGGTTTCAGCTGCAGTTGGCATGAGTCAATACTAGGTGGTTGTTAAAGCTCAATCTTCAGGATCCTTAACACTTGAACTTGAATCCCAGCTCCAAC